CAATGGAGAACCCGCGTAGAACACAGAACAATTATTTCTATCAGGGAGGGGAGTCTCGTGGTATTAAAGAAAAAGTTATTTGTATTTTTCATTTTTAAGATAAAATTCTCTTTCTATAACGATAAATATTTGATTGACATTTAAAAGCTATTTTATAAAGATTTTCAATTTCTCTTTGCGTTTTAGCTTCGATTTTTCGGATAGAATAAAATGACAGGCAGCCTACTCCACTGGGTCGAGTTTTGCTGTGCAAATTCCTCCCGTCGGAGGGTTATGTTTACAACATAAGCTTGTCAGCTTTGCGCTGATTGGCTAGTCGCATTTTCTCAAATCACCCAGAAATAAATAAAAAATATCAAAAATGAATAATTGATGAAGATATCTCCATCTGAGCATGAGCAGTAATCAACTTGGTTTCCCAGATCCAAGCGCCACTATGATTTAGTATACTGTGACTCTGCAAATAAGTAATTTTAACTCGAGACCTAGTGAAGTTCTATGATGAGAGTCTAAAACTGAGAACTTTTCTAGTGTTGGGCATACATCGAGTGTCTGTAAATAAGTTACAACACTAATGTTTTATGCATGAGTGTTATAACTAACTGAACCGGTTAGCTATAAAACTCATGTTTGATTAATCATTGTTTATAACTTGACTTATAGATCCTGTCATGTGTCCCATAGTTGAATGCTCATTGGAAGAATGTCTGATGAATAATTCATGTAGAAGGGCATATTGGTGCTGCACGATATTTTTTTTAGGTTGAAGAGCCGCTCGACATTTTTTTTGCGATTTAATTCACCCCCTCATAAAAAATCAAATGGACCGTCCCTTATTGGATGCAGTCCATGCGTATGCATCTTTTCTGAACCTTTTTTCCCGCTAACAACAGTTTAACATAGCGGGCCATTTTCTCTTGGGCGGGCTAAAATGGTTCTTGGGAGTGGACGTAGGTATTTTCTTTGACAGTGTGTTAAATAAAGCATCGTCTGGAATTGTAGTATATAGTAGAAGAAAAATGAAACATGATTCCAAGCGTTACCTGGACACTAACCTTTAGTAAAAACATAACTTTTCCTGTTTTTGTTTTTATTTTACGTTATAAAAAAAATGAAATTTTCCCTACTACATAGACGATATAGTGAAGTCAAAAAACCCGTGCGATAGATTCTAGACTAATACACCTTTGGGCCTGATTACATGAAGCGGACTGGCCTGGTTGGCTGGGTTGATTTCTTTTGTATGTCCCTCCCGGCTAGCCCGCTTCATATAATCAGGCCCTTACTCTAATACTCCAATTTCGAGTTCTGGTTTTCTCTGTGTTACCCTCAAAACAAAGTAACATATTCTTTTGTTTTATTGATAGCCCGATAAAACGCATGCAATTTGAAAAGAAAGACAATAGAATTGATTTGAAATCTCACACTTTTATTCTCACAATTAGGAATATTTTGCGAACAAATGAGGCTAACACAGAGCATTGGAGAATTCGAAACTTGATTATTGCATTGTTTTCTTTGGTGTCTATTTGACTGTCACACTTTAATAGTACAAATTTGTTTCGCGGATGTAATGGCTCCACTCTACACAAATACTATTAAAAATCCACAGGAGGACCGCATTGATTGCAGTTACATTTGAAAGTTTCCATCGGTAGACCTGTGCAAGAACCAAACTCGCCATCTCCACATTTACAGTAACGAACACGTGCTTTGACCCCACACCCACAAGGCTTGCTGCACTTACTATATACCCATGGTGACCAACAATCTGGAAAACAAACATACGCAGTTTATCAACTATATATAAACTGACAACCATTAACAATGTCATATGGTTGTATGAGTCCATTCGTTAATATGATGTTTATCCGAGAGCCATGATCCACCAACATTCAGTCGGTCGTGTTTTAGTTTTTTCATATTCTTCGTCCTCACTATACGTCACATCGGCCATCTTGGAGGAACTTCAACAAAGGATTCTCATTAGTATCTATTGTTCATTCCTCCAACATGACCGCCGGTCTTTTATCTTTTGAATCTCATGGGAAAACGATCAATAGAAAATGAGTTTACTTCATATATACGTTTCCATTCGTCCGTTTTTAGGGTAGAATATCCAATAGTCCGTGAGAAAAACTCTTGGAAATACATCGCTGGTGTTTAAAACCACGACCCTCGTAATAATTTGAAAATCTGATTTTTTTATAAATCCGAGGGTCACTGGGTTCGAATCCCAGCGATGTTGGGAATTAAGTAACAATGCGCGTAAGAACTAGGGAGCTCTCTATTGTTGTGCGGCATAGCAAGTTCCCCATGTACGAATGTCGTGGTTTTCACACTGATTATGTATCCATTTGTGGGTAACACATTTTTGAAATAAAATGTGGATAAACTCTATTTTGAAACAAAGTTTCTTTTGTATTAAAAGATCTTATCCAATCATAAGCACTCAAAACAAGAGSTAAAAGATGCTTCTAATTTGCAATGTTCCCCACATAGAATTGCCTTAATATTGAAGCTAAAGAAAGCTTTCATGAAAGAGAAAAATGACATTAAATATAATATTAGAAAATTCGCTAACTTGGGAACTTATAGCAGATTTTCATGTTTTAACCAATGGGATGGATGGATTATACAATGCGCAATTAGCACCTTCTTGCATTCCTGTGCCGTTTGCTTMCCTAGTTCTTACTCGGGGCATTACTTAATTTTTCCGAATTTATTCCCAAGGGTCTTTCTGACGGATTAATCTCCATCTAATCACTATAACTTTCCTTTATTTCTATATTATGTATCCCATAGTTCCATGCTGTCCTCATTTTCACAACCTAGACTCACCTGGTTTTGTGGTAGTTTTTGCAGTGGGTTTTGCCGTAGGTTTTGTGGTAGGTTTTTGTGTTGGTTTGGTCGTTGGTTTCTTTGTCGGTTCAGTGCTTGGTTTCCTTGTTGGTTCTGGTGTGATTGGATGTATTCCAGAACCACCTAAAGCAAGGAAAGTTAAAATGAGCATACAAAGCGTTTCATGACTGCCGATCGATCAGGTGAAAATCACTGCAACAAAAAGAGGACATCCGGACCATCGGCGAATACACATTCAAAACGGTAATGCCAGAAAGAACATAGTTTATTTGGCTTCAAACATCTTACTGATCATTGTGTAAGATGTGTGACGGCTCAAAAAGGTTTAAGTTTGGCAGTCATTCAAGAACAACCTGGTTGGCAAGCTTGTCCCTGTCTGTCACACTTTTTTGTTGATGGGCAGACGAGTAAGCAATGTGCAGCGACGCCGTTTTATTTTGATGCATGATGGGAGCTGCAGTCTTCACGGTTTTTCGTATCCACAAAAATAGTCTTTAGCCATTTTTTAATTTTCTTTGTAAAAATAGAAGTAGTTTCTACCAAGAAAACATAAATAGGCTTTTTGTGAGATGCTGCGAGGACTATAAATACTACAACTCACACCATCCCTTGTACAAAATGGAGTCGGCGACATTGCCTATTAGTATAATTTCATAAGTGAATATCATAATTCTAGCGCGCTGATTGGTCGAATTTGACGCTTCAATGAGCGATGTTCACCTATAGGTGAATATTGGATTTTTTCGCAAAATGGCGTCGTCCGCGAGTCGTTGGATTAAACAATTGGATTAAAAAAAATTGGATGAAAACTTTTTAAAGGTAAGCTTTGTTCGCAAAATTGACTTTGCTGTCAGTCCGAGCGCCCTCGGCCGCCATCTTCAATCCCTGCCACATAACATTTTACGAAAATGCAGTAGTTCTTTTTTCTCTATTTTTAATATAAAAATTAGGTAACACCTAATAGCGGAGCTCCAATAGCAATATAGAAGCTGAAAATGATTATCTAGTACTGCTATTTCAAAGGTATATGCTCTGTTCTAAGGAATGTGAGCTACAACAGTTTTGTTGACATGCGAACAAATATTATAAAGAGTGTGTTTATGAGAATTTAGTTCGTACTATTATATATTGACTTCGGTAGATTTTGTTCCGTTAGATGAAGTTTAAAATCATAATTAAGTTAAAAGTAAACTGAAAGCTTCTCGGCAAAAAGTAGTCTACATAAGCATACAATAATCAACATTGTTTCAATAATCGATGTTTGAACCCGGACTACTCGAACTTCACATATCACAGAAGACTGTATACAAAAATATATTTTTTACCTTCATTATCGAACTTCCGATAAATTATCGTTCAAAGGTCATCTTCAACAGAGCCATACTTGTTTCAAGCATAGGTTTCATCAATTTATTAAGTCATTCAAGACTGTAGATTCTTTGTTATTAATCTCTCTCAATCTAACTGCTAGCATGGTCTTGGTTTCGAAATGTCCACACTTTTAGTCGACAAAAGAACTTCGCATAGATCCCTGCTTTTTCCCATATTGGTCCATATTATTGAAGTATTTCCAATAAAGTATCATCTCTTTTTGTTGTCGAAATATCAAAGTAAAATCCTTTTTTCTAATATCACTTTTAAGATGGGCCTAAATTGCTTTTCATCTTCGCAAATCGATTTCCCGGATGTGCGGACGCGTCGAAGTTATGACAATATTGGCGGGAATATTTCTGTGCTGTTATTTCGCTCTTCAGTGCATTTTTTCCTTGTGATTRATTGTTCTAATATTATCAATATGTAATATAAATGTTTAAGGAAAAAATTTCGATTTTTCAACAAATAATTGGCGCTTTGTTTCCTTTTCGAGCGGAGTATGGGTTTCCTGTGGTGGTACACGGAATCCAGGACGGAAACGTACGTACGCGCGGGAACCCTGTGTCGGTCCATGGAAAATCGACTCGATGGTATACCATTTTTTCTTAGCTATGGGAGCTCCGCTATGAATATTCACTTATGAAATTATACTAAAACAATTATTCGCCGAAGGCGAAGTGATTATCAGTGAATATTTATCGAGCGGCGATTCCGCGAGCCGCGAGGTAAATTTTCATTGATAATCACTGAGCCTGAGGTGAATAATTGTTAATTATTAAACGTATGATAAGCCCGAATGAATGTCCTTGCCCTAGTTTTTGAACCTTTGTCGAATGTACGTAAAAGTTTTAGCTTTCTTACCTGAAAAGCAGTAGACATCGTTGGCGTATGGTCCACCTTTTCCATCGCGACATTTGGAGCACTTGTTGTATTTGCTGTATGTGTTGTGGGCGTTCGGTCCCGACCAGCACTCGCCACCAWACTGCACTCCAAAACACTTGTACTTCAAGTGGAAAGTTTTTTTAGCGCACTTTATCACAGCGTCGTGATGTCCTCTGAAGTTCCCCAATGACTGAGCCATCGCTCTTGATGCAGCATCCTTGAAGCATCCTTTGTGACTGTAAGAAGCTGTAATTAAATAGAATTTGTATTGTGAGGGTGCTTTCCATTAAGGCAGAACTGGCCGGCCAGTCCACTCTATTTAGAGGTATGTAATGCTTTTTGTCAACATTTTTCAGTCATTTCGAGGTTTTCTGTAGAATAATAGATAGAATTTGAATTTCCAAACTAAATGGGAATGATATATAATGACATTTTCTCTGGGTCTGGCCAGCCAGTTCTGACAAATGGAAAGCGCACTGAGAACATGGACTTTTTATTTAAAACGGTATGAACAACATAGATTTCCCAAGCAATTATTCTCTGGTGAGTTGCCAGCTCTGAAAGCGCCTCAAAAGCAATTAATGAGCGACTTTCTCAAGAAATATGGACAACCTCTCCTGAATGACATTAGGGGGTGATTGAAACTAATACTCTACTTTTCCCGCATGTTATGTATAATGGAGGGATGTCAGTGATTAAATGTCCCTTCAAAGATGGTTTTTGAGAGGATCATGGTATCACAAAAATACTATGAGTTGGTAAGACTTACGCATGCACGTTGCAATGTGACACGTCCTTATTTCTCTGTCCTTCCCATGACACTGTCTACCGCCACTGGCTGGTCGTGGATTTGTACAAGATCGCTTACGGTACTGTATGCCAGATCCACAACTCTTAGAACATTTGCACCAAGCACCCCAGTTGGACCACCCTCCATCGACTATGAAAATAATTGTTAGAAAAGTAATTGCTATGACAATGTGACAATAAGTGATAATAAAGTGATGATAGTCAAGATGCGATTTCCAAAATCCCATACACAATTTGGCGGAATGTCTACGTATACTATATATAGGGTGCTATTCTATGCTTA